TGGCCGAAGCCAGTTTGTTTTTGAAAAAGTTTGAAGGGATGATTCCTATCGGGAGCATTTGGGGAGCCACTGACTTTTGTCAGCGAATCTGTGGAAAGGGTCTGACCTGAACCCGTTTGGTTGTGCACAGTTCAGCTTCTTTTTGTTAGACAAGGGTAGCTGCAAAGAAATTACCCAATGTCGTGCTTAGCCAGCCTCCTCCCACAGCCTTGCCACAAAGTTAGAATGAAACAAGCTTCAGATACGTTATTTATTAGATAGTTATTAGCAAGGAAAGCACAACATGGTTCATGCAACCAGTTCTGCGAGCTCACTCCATTCTCAGCTCTCGGGCCTTGTAGGATGGGTAGGCTGTAATTTTGTCCCTGTTCCTTGCTACTGGGTCAGCAACCTTGGGCTTGGCCATAGGGTTTGCTTTGGCCAACAGAAGTGAGTAGAAGCAGTGGGTCTCGCTTCCGGTAGAGGTTTTAAGATCCTTCCTTCACTTGCGCTGTCCTTCTTTGCCCTCTGCCTGGAGACCAGTACATCCCAGAGACGGGCTGCTTGCTCAGGCTTGTGGAATGAAGAGCAGAACCTCAGCTGGCCTGCAGCCAATATGCCATAAGCTTTGGTTATTATAAGCCATGGAGAGTCAGGGACTGTTTGTAACCCTAGCATAAGCTACCTAAGGCTGTTGAACACACTGGAATTTCAGCTTACATATTCCAGCTCTGCACTTGGGCAACTTTCCCAAGGCAACTTTCCATGCCTTCTCTTTGGTACCATGCTGTCAGAATCCTCCTCAGCGGAAGGCTGGTCACAGGAAGCAGAGAGCCCTCCGTAGGAGGTGCAGGCTGGATGCCTCCGTAGTACTCTTCCTGTGGTCATGTAAGACAGACAGGTGACAGGGGTGTGTGTCGGGGTGCGAGGGAGGTGGTTCCTGTTATTTTAGCTGGTCCACACACCTTGAATACCTTCAATGTCCTCAAGGAGTAGCCCTTTCTAACATCCATCATTCTAATAAATAGGCCAATAATTTTGCCAATAAAAACCTGTTTCTTGACATCCAATATATCAATGAATGGTAGGTCAATTCTGGACTAAGATAGGGACAATATCAAGATTTGTTGTGGCCACCTGTGGAGTATGGCCCCCTCTAATATAATGCTGGACACGCAGGACTGTACTTTTTTTTTTAATTCTGTTACCCTTTATCAGAGAAAAGAAAGAAAGTTTCTGTTATTTGACATAGGTAGTAATTGACAGTATTACTGTCAATTGACAGGCTGATACATATCAATTTAAAATGTAATATCTTTATTAAAAAATATGTTTACAAGTGTCCAAGAAGTGCACATTTAGGATGTGATAAATTCTTTGTAAGTTTCATTCAAAGGACTGTCTATTACAGCTGAACCTTTACATCTGTCATTTTAAAAATCAAAATATTTTGATACCAGGCTTCCTCCTACTGCCCTAAACAAGGTAGCATTTTCTGATGAGTTGACATTAACAGATTATGTCTTGAAAAGAAGAATACGTCCTTTAGTCTGAGGTTTTGGCGTCCTCTGAGAGCAGGACAGATGCCTTTGTGGGGTCGGGGCTGGGACCCTGGGCTTGGCGTGAGGAAGTGCAGGTCGCCTCCCAAGGGGATCCAAGCCTCCATGGACTCTACCGCAGCTGTACCACAGCCAGACCTGTCTTGCCAGTTTCTACATGGGCTTGCCTGGCATACTTCAAGAAAGAGAAGCTCGTGTTCGTCCCCGTTTTCTGAAGCTCCATGGTAACATTTAGTAAAGCCCCAATGGCATGTCTTCCACAAATTGTATTTGGTATCCCTTAAAATAATTGCCAAAATAATTGCTAACTGTCCCACAACATCATTACCCATTTTATCTAGATATTCAGTGGGTCTATATCTCTCCCTTGGGTTTCATTCTCATAACTGTGAGGAACATTTGATCATGGTAGATATCAACAGAAACCCCAAGACACCATTGGAATCTCCAGAAGAGTTCCACCAAATCCCGCCCTGTTGATGTATGCGGCGCCCCACCCAGTTCAGGGGTCACCATGAATCCATCCTTGTGGATTTCCATTGTTTTACCTGAGTAAGTAAAGGCACTTCAATAGTCTGTTTGTCTTTGTAGTGGGTTTTATTTGTGTTGCCTAAAAGATATGTGGAAGTCAAATGCCCATTATACCCATAAGGTCAGAATGCAACCTTATTTAGAAATGAGGTAGCTGTAGGTGTAATTCGTTAAACAAGATGAGGTCATATGGGAGCAGGGGACCCTCCAATATGACCGATGTCCTGTAAGAAGAGGGAAAGCTGGACACATGCGAGCACAGAGGGTGATATAAAGACACACAAGAAGATGTTGACCATGTGGAGATGGAGGCAGGGACTGGAGCAATGCATCTGCAAGTCAAGAAACTCCTGGGGCTACCGGAAAGCAGAAGGGGCAAGGGAGGAGCCTCCCCCACAGACCCTGTCAACACCCTGATCTCCCACTTCCGGCCTCCAGAACTGTGGGAAAACAAATTTCTGTTTCTGCACACTCAAGTGTTTGGTAATTTTTACATCAGGTGCTAGTAAACCAGTGCAGCCTTCGTTCGTCTGCAGACATCAGCCTCTGCTTCCAGGGTTGTCCTAAAGCTTTTCATCAGTAGGAAGGCATCCAGAGGACACATGGAGAGAGAGAGAGGGTGGGAAAGGCCAAGGAGGAAAACTCTCCCGGTGAAGGATGGAAGCACTCCACCGTGGATGTCCGAGGGCGGCACGAGGGCGTGGTGAGCGCCCTCAGCAGGGTTTAGAGGCCCTGGGTCCGCTTCCAGCACACCACGTGATTGTGCATCTTGGGCCTGCATGACATACAATCTCTCCTGCACGGCCCCGCAGATCTCCCCACACCCACCATACCAGGGCTGGGCCCCTTGACCATGCAAGACAGCATGTTACCGACTATGCTTAGAATGAAAGTTTAAACTGACAACCCCACCAAGAATATCACACTAATGATCCTGGTTTTAAAAAGTGAATTGCAGACATCAGGATTAGGGAGGCTGGTTATTCTAGGCAGTGGGAGAGGGAACTCTGTGGTGAAGCACAGTACAATTTTTGGCTTCTTAAAGTCCATTCAAAGTTCGTGATCTCATCTCTAAATAGGATCGGTCTGCCCAGGTGGGTGAATTCCTCCATGATGCCCAGCTGCCGGCGTGGTGTAGTGGGGGGCTGCCCCTAAGTCAGGTTGGGTTTTCCCAGACTATGGCCTGACGGACAGAGAGGAGGCTGCATCTGTGCCGTGGAACCCTGGCCGGTCGCTGGAAGCCTGAGATGATGGCCTGCATGGATGGGTGTCCCAGTGAGCACCAAGGGTTGTTCCCAGTGGGCATCCTGGAGCTGATAGGCAGGAAGATGAGGAGATGGGCTCGGAGAAGGGGTTGTTGGAATTTGAGATTGCAGATGAGGCACACTTTCTGGTTCTGACAAGATCCAGGGTTTGACATTGGGCCTGGGTGGTGAGATGGGCGGAACAGAGGAAAAGGTTCTGGTAGGTGAGGCGGTTAAGGAAAGGGGAGGCTGGCATGTAGATGCTGATGGCCCTAGAGAGGGAAGATGAGCCAGGAGCTTCCTCCTAAGGAATAGGGAGCAGTGAGGAGGAAGTGGCTTGGTGGCAGGACATGGACGGGGACGAGGGCGTGGTTTGAGGGTCTGAGCACCAGGGAAGCTAGAATCGCTTGGCAAGAAGGGACAGGAGGAAGGGCTGGAAGGCTTGGAGAAAGGGCACAGGCCTCACGGTGGGATCTGGGGTGAGTGGTGTGTGAAAAGAAAGCATCTCTGGAGAGCATCTGGGGATAAGCGCTGTCAGGGAAAGGAGAGGGGGGCTCTGTGGGAGACAAGGAGGGATGGCAGGCCACTCACAGGACACAGCGCAGGCCTCCAGGGGACTCAGTGGAGGGAGAATAATGAACCGGACCTCACCAGGGGATGTCCTGGGCACTTTGAGGGCCACATGCGTCAGTCTTGCTGTGCTGGAAGGACTCCAGTTGTGAGTCCTGATTTCTAGCTCAGCTGTTCAGAAGATTTTTCTAGATGTACAGTGGCACCAAGGGGTGGGGATTCACTTTTCAGGCTGCTCAGCATCAGGGAAGGTGACAGATTTCCTGGGGACAGCGTCTCCTCTTTCCCGCCCCCCCGCCGCAGTTCCGTTGCCGTGCTGCTAACCTCTCCACCTCTGCAGCGATGCTTTCCAACCTCTCCCTGCCTTCTCTTCCTCCTTCTCAAATAAACCTTTTTTTATCTTCAGTTCTCTGGCCTCCCATGTTGAAAAGAGTATATTTAAAACTTATTAACAGATTCATCTGTTAGTACAACTGTATGAAAGTGGAGGAAGGAAGCAGCTCAGGGTCAGACACGGGTGATGTAAGGATCTGTGGGGGCTCAGGCCGCAGCACGGACGAGCCTTGAAAACATGATGCTCCTTGAAACAAGCCAGTCACAGAAGGACACATACTGCATGGTTCCACATGCATGAGGTCCCTAGGGCAGTCAGATTCATAGAGACAGACAGGAGAGGGGTGGATGCCAGCAGCTGGGGCAGGAGGGTGGGGAGTTGTCATTTAATGGGGACAGAGTTTTAGTTTTGCAAGATGGAAAGTCATTCTGGAGATGGGTTGCAAAATAAGGTGAACCGTACGTAACACTTCCAAACCGTATGCTTCTACACGGTGAATTTTATGTTATGTATATTCTACCACAATTTGAAAAAGAGAAATCTGTGGAGACTCTCAGAAAGCCAGATCAGGTGATTTATAGATGGCAGAGAAAATACCAAATAGCAGAAAGAAAACAAAGTGTAGGCTCCTATTCTCAAATCACTTCTGCCTCCCGGGAGCTCCTGATCCTGTGTTCATCCAGTTCAATGCTAGGTGGCCGCGCAAAGCCCGATTCATGCCCAAGAAGGCCAACATTAAATGCCAACTGTATATCAAAGAAACCGTCAAGAGCACTAGCACTTTATTTATTTATTTTTTGTCTTTTGCAAGCACATCTTTTTTCCTTCTCTTTCAGGTCAGGGAAGCCTGCCAAGTCATAAAACAAAGCACAGGTAATTAAGAACTGCTGTTGTTAACAAGCTGCTTCTGTTTTCATTCATCACAGGAGAGCTTCCAATTTCCCTATGGAAAAGAGGCCTTGATTTCAACGATAAACCCAGAACATGGGAAGGAAGGAATTAACTGAAGTTCCCCTTGGCTTTTGCCCAACTTGGCTGCAGGAGAGTTTGGCAGGGCATAGGGACATCTCTTGGAGAACTCAGATTAGATAGAAGCCACACGGGGTTGGGGGGAGCTCCCAGGGGAAACAGGTCAAATGAATTAAGAATTTGCCCTCAAGGTCATAGGAGAGCCTGTCAAGGATGTGGCTGGTAGGTACAGCAAAATGCCTCCTGGACCTAGAATGTAGGAAAGAGCCTCTCCCTACAGACCTCACCAAGGGCTATGACTAACTTCCAGGGATGAATCGCTGTGCACACATTTGTGACCAACAGGGACGTAGCCAATTCTTCACTCACCTTCCCCAGAAGGGCAGGGCGGAGGCCAAGAGAAGGCATGTCGGCATAACCAGCCCCTGACTTCCGAGCCCATCACTGGAGCCCATGACTGAGATCTAAGGAAGTGAGGAAGGAGTCGGAGGGAGTGTCCTCTGGCCCCACAGCCGGCCCTCCGCCTGCCTGCCCTCCCTCACCTCAGCCCTCCCGTTCCCATTTGCCCTTGTATCTGCCCTTGCATTTTCCCCTGAAATCCATTCAGCTCTCCCCAAAGCTCTGTGTCAGAGCTGAAATCATTCTTAAACTAACTTACATGTTATTTGAAAGCGTATCCTTTGATACTTGAGTGGCTTTACTCACAAGGGCAGGGGCTGTGGTGAAGATGGAAATGGCATGAGGGTCTGATGTGTTGATTCGTTCCTTTTCTCAGCTTTATGGGGCAGGCAACATGCAGGCAAAATCCTCGTGCTTCCGCCAGAACCAGTTCCCCCACGACCGTGAAGGGCAGGAGAGCTGCCTTGGCAGCCTGAGACCCCCGCACGCGGGCTCCTCCTCCCACTCCAGTCCTTCGCTGTGCTCCTACCTGTCTTTCAAACGCTCTAATTTCTGGCTTTGGATGTTGAATGAAAATCTCTCTGATTAGGTTATTGCATAATAATGATGAAAAAAAAGAGTGGTATCAAGACCAAAGCTATTTAGCCAAAGTTTCAAAGGGGAGAGATGAATTATTCCAGAAACGCTCATTACGTAAAATTCCAAAGTGCATTATTAGTTTGGTGGCTGTAAAGGTTTAGAAAAGGAAGCCGTGATCACTGGGGTAAATTCTTTGGTTCAATAAAACAACGTAATGCTAATTAAATGCATTTGCTGATAAAGGTTGATGGATTAGAAGAAAACTATAGCAAGATCCTATATGAAGATTTCAGCAGGCATACGACAAAGCTATTCAAGATATCTGGAGAATATAGTACTGAATATTATATATATATGTGCATGTATATAGTATATACCATATGTATATATGGTATTGGGTAGAGGCCAATATATAAAATACTATGTATAAAATTAACATAGAGTAAATAATATATATATATATGATACTATATACTGTATATATATGTATTTACATTGTATTGGACACTTTCTAAGTATAAATAGACTACTATATTGTGTGTGTGTGTGTATTATATGTATACATATGTGTGTGTGTGTATATATATATATTATATATATAGTATTGGCCTCTACCCAAGTCAGCTCCTGAATGACTGGGTATTATATGATGTTAAGGTGATTATTAAATGTGACAATGGTAATGTGGTTATCTTTCTTAAAAGTCTCTTATTTTAATCTTAAGTTAGAAATTTTTTGACTTCTCCCTCTCTGTTTTTTTCTGTTTATTTGCAAAGCCAGGGGGCTTTCAAGCACTGAAGACAGTAGCCAGGAATTGCTTTCCTCCCTAGACCTGCACCCTTAAAGCACCATGATGCCTAAGGGACAAGGAAGAGGGGGATTTATTCACCCCTCTGGCCATTGCATTGATCTCAGAGAACTGACATTATTGATTTAAAACAAATTAAGTAACAGAACTCACAAAGTGGTAAATGAGTAGCAGAAGCAAATCTAAAATGACTTATTAAAGCCAAAGTCAGAGTTTTGTGTTCATTTAGGAAAGAAAAAGTCTCAATTCTCATCTGTTTTTGTGTCTCCTTAGTTTCCAATTAATATTGCAGTTATTTCTCACATACCCAGTTTCTATTTGCAAAGCCAATATGCCAGCAGTTTCTATAACTTAATTCCTAAAATAAATTTGTTAAATACTAGCCTTTGAGATAAGCAGGTAGGGGATGAATATAACTAGTTTAAATGGAATGATTTAGTCATTTGGAGAACACAGATTATAAGTTCAAGCCCCAGTACACTTTATTCTCAAAGCAATACAACTGAGCAGATTTGGGTTTATAGCTAGAGTTGGGAGCAAATACAAGCAGAAACACCCAGTGATTTGCCTGAGGTTACATCAGTTAACTGCTGGCATAGGGGTCTCTTGACCTCTGCTAGGATCTGCTTTGGAAGCCTGTTCTCTTACACACTTCTGAGAGCTGTTCCACTAGCACCAAAAGCTGGGGCCACTGTTGTCACACAGCTGTAGGTACCAAACTCAGAGAGGGACAAGGTGGCAGGGGAGTCTCAGGCTCACTTAGCTGAATAAGCTGTTTTTCTAGCCACAATGGCTTCAGGATAACATCTGGTCGAGGGAACCCAGGCCCAGTCCCTGGCCCAGCCGTGCTTGGTAAAAGCAGTGGACCCCTGCCTCCTCCGTGTTTCAGTGGGTATTCCGGGCAGCATCCCCTGTGCTCCTGAGTGACCTCGGTGCTCTACTATGGTCAGGGGGTCAGCTGCTATCTCCCAAGGGTGTTGTGCTAGAGTCTGCAGACCACCAACGCAAGAATCCCCAAAAGCTGACTTCCTGGTTGGGGTGCAAGGGAAGATGGAATGGTCAGTAGGAAAAAATAGACATGAAGGCAAATTTTCTACTTTGCTTGTTATGTACCTATTATTCATGTAAGGATTATTGAGGGCATTTAAATTTGCAACTTATTCTTTAAATAACAGAATATTCCGGTGGGACTGTGACTAAACTAGAAAAGCACAAACTAGAGGTAGATATGGATCGTTGAACTTTATCTCATTTTGGAGGAGAAGATTAGAGAGGATCTTTATAGGCATGAAAGATGATTGTAGCTTATGAGGCAAAAGCACAGAATCTACACATGAAGGCACCTTGGGGGCGCCCTGCTAAGGGAGAGAAGCTGGTCACAGAAGGACAAATGTCCTGTGATTCCGCTTATCTCAGATTCCCAGAGAAGTGGAGTTTTAGAGACAGACAGTAAGAGGGTGGTTGCCTGAGGCTGGGGGAGGGGAGAACAGGGAGCTGTTTCCTGAATGCTGGTGTTCAGTTTGGGAAGAAAAGAAAGTTCTGAAGATGGAGGCACTGATGGTGGCCCAAAGTACTCAATGCCACTGAACTGTGCATTTAAAAAGCATGTAAAACAGAAAGAGAATGAGAGAAAGCAATTGGGAGATGGAAAAATGTGATTTATACCTGTAAGTGCCCTATAAACCAATAAATCCTTATCACTGTAACAAAGGTCTATTTATCAAAAAGTTTTTGCTAAGTCATCCTTGCCTTTCAATTTTCAAAGGGAAACACAAAGTAAATATGGCTACGGTAGCCTCTTTTTTTTGGAATTTCTGAATCAATTCGGTTCCAAATTCCAAGGGTGAACTCCAGGGAAAATATTAATTCATGTATCTCAGAGAGGGAGCACTTGGCCCAGACTAATGTGCAAGCCACAGGTCACAGTGACATTCCATCCACTCCCCTCAGCAAGCTGCCAATACCTACGCTTCAAAGGCAGTCAGTTCCTCTTGGTTTTCTCAGGACAATTTGAAATGCAAGTCAGTGAATGTGTCATCCATCATATGCTACCTGCTAATGTGGGAGACATATAACAGCTAGGATAGCAACTAGCTTAGTGTTTTTCTGTGACTCTATAAAAAACATCCAGATACTCTGACTAGAAAAGAAAAGTTACTGCATTTGTTCCAGGTAGAGTTCCCGGGACCCAGGTTGAGCTTGTAGGTGGATAGAACTTGATTCCAGCAGCAGCACCTACAGCCAAGGATGCTCCACGAGGCAACATCGAGGAGCAAACTGAAATAGAAGGGACAGACGCTGCCACGCAAGGCAACTATCAAAGGGGCAAGAAGAAAAGCGGGAAGTGCGGAGCCAGAGGGAGGTCAGGAGGCGTCAGAATCAGGCCCAAGAAGAGAGTTCACAATGGACACTGGGGCCAGAGCCTTTGGAGATCCCCTGTGCCACCATCTTGTCTTTCACTGGAATAGGGCCATTATCTCATGGTATTGAGAGCTGAACAAGGGAATTTATCCATGCACAACTATTAGATTATTTTTGGTAAGTTCTGTAGCTGCCAAAAGTTTAGAAGTAGAGGAAGGTTAACTACTCCCCAAAACCTTGCTGCTGCATTTTAATGACAGCTGGTTTCAGGTGGAATTATTGCACACGTAGAGTCATTTATTAGGCAAACATTTATGAGCAAGCAAGCATAAAAACAGTTCACCAAGCATGTTCTGGAAACTCTAGGAAGTCTCTGCTCTCTGTCCTAGTATGTGCTTTGACTAGCCTTAATTGAAAGGTTGACTTGAGACAGATATGGAAATTTATAGGCAATATTTAGTTAACCCACTAGCAACCAAAATTCTCTGAAATTATGGCTGGACACACAGGACCATTTCAGAACCATGCCTTGAGATTCACTATAATAGAAGAGGGGGAAGTCTTTCAAAGTCTTATTTAAACCCTGCTCATGTAAGGTTTACATGATGCTGGCTGAAATCTTTTAGTCTATGCACACATCTTGAATTCCCATTATTTACCAATGAGGGTCCACTTCTAGCACCCAGTATGCACTTATATAAGATATTCATTTCACTAGTGAAAACTCATTAATTCACCCTGGATTTGTTTGTTTACAAGAGTTTTTAGAACTTGGTTTCTAAGCTACTGTTGTATTGAGTAGCATAGTTTGGCATTTGGGTTTTACTTTAGCTATTGTCACTGTAGAGATGCCAGTTGTGATCTGTTGTGGGTTGAACTGTGCCCATCAAAAGATATATTGCAATTTGAACACCCAGTGACCTGTGAACATGACCTTATTTGGAAATAGGTCTTTGCAGATACACTTAAGGTAAGATGAGGTCAAGCTTGTTTGGGGAACCCTAAATCTAATGATTGGAGTTCTTATAAAGAAAGAGTCTGTACCCCATTTATTCTATGTATTTCACAGCTTTTCCCATTATGAAGCTATTGTTTACTTATCTATATTTTTCTTTCTGTACCAGGCTAGAAGCTGCCTAAGAGCAAGGATCCTACATATCTTACTTCTCTATTTCTAGAGTCTTTGAGAGCGCTTGGTACATGGTAGGTGCTCAATAAATATTTCTGAAATGAACGAATGAATATAGCTGTATTAGTTTCCTAGGGCTGCTATAAGAAAGTCCACAAGCTAGATGGCATACAGGAAATCACCACTTAAGAAATTCATTCTCTTGAAGTTCTGGAGGCTAGAAGTCCCAGCAGTTGACTGCAGGGAGCAGTGTGTGTGCGTGTGCCCATGTGCATGTGCACACATGCGTGTGCTCCTTTCAGGAGGAAGCAAAGCCACTACATGGAAAAAAAAAAGGTCTGGGTGATGGTGAGGCGAAACTGGAAGGATGTAGTCAGGACCCTGAGCTGATGAGACCTAACTTAGTGAAGCTGGAGTGGAGGATTTGCGACCCAGTGCTCATCCACATGGTTAAGTGCAACTGACTGGGTAAGTCTCCCAGGCGAGGACATGACTGAGTTTTCGGTAGACTATTCTTTAAGGCCAGCTGCAGTGCGGTGATAGAGCATGCGGGGAATCCAAGCACAGTGAGAGTGCACCAGTGACTCCAATTCATTGCATCACTTCCTGTGCTATCAGTGAATTTTGTGATCAGAATCACCTCTAGAATGGTACACATGACCTTGAATAAGGCATTCAGTGGGTCCCATAGGTAGTGGGGCTGGCAGAAATATGGTGGGCAGAGAAGTTAAATCCAAATCCAGAACTTGTCTATCTAACTGAGGACAAATTGCTGCTCTAGCTGTGGCAGAAAGTTTCAAGGTGTCAATGAGCCACGAGGTGGCTGGGTGGCTTTTCATACCCAAGGCGTGGTACCATTTTGAGGTCTGGGGGTTCACTGCTGCTGTGGGCAAGCTGGACATTCAGCTGTGACGGCAGGCAGCTTAGCCTGATGACAGTAACACTGTGTTACTGAGCCCAGGCACGGTTTCCAGCCTGAGCACCTTTGCCTCTTCGTGCATGAAGTCATTGAGCAAGGGCAGGGAAAATGGAAGCTCCGTGGCCAGGATCCTCACCTGATACCCACTGAGTGTGTGCGATGAGGTAACACTTGGACTGCTACCCAGGTGCATGCTGGCATACCTGTTGGCGATAAGCCATTCTGCCGGTATTGCAATAAGAGTTCCACCAGGTGCTTAGGGCTGAGAGAACAGGACAGCAGAGCCTGTAGAAGAGAACAGAGACTGAGATGGGCTTGCTGGGGCAGAGGAGGACATGATTCTAGTGTTTGACCTGCCACAGCGAGACTAAAGCTTGGTATGAGCCCCTTTTTAGCAGCAACACTCTGTTGTTATTTTTCAGTTTCACGGAATCCATAGTGAACTTGCCTGGGGCTGAAATCCTCAGGCAGAGAGGAAGCCTTCGAATGTTTGAGCAAAGAGCTGTTGTGGAGTGGGAAGACCTGACTTGAAAACATCCCCAACAGTGAGCGTACACAGGGGACCAAAATATCATCTCCCTAAGGCTACGCAAAAGATCCATCCATCCATCCATCCATCCATGTAACTTGTTACAAATCTTCGAACCATTAATTCTCACCGTCTGGCTAAAATTTTAGCCTAGATAGTTAGATAAGATAGACAGAAGAGGGAAGGAAGGAAGGGAAACGGCATAGACCTCTATTTCAGGCCCTGCATTCCAGGCAAAGTGAGTGATGATATAGATGTATTTCTCGAAGTTTTGCTCACAAGGAGGGTTTCCCATCAACTCATTTGCTTCTATCCCTAAGAATGGCTGATATTCCAAAGTGGTTCTCTTTTCCCTCATAATAAGCACTTTGTGCAAAGCCTGCTAACTGCCTGGACTAGGGTGTCCTGTCAGAGTGAGATTTTCAATACACGGGACCAAACTGATACCTTGTGTACTAGTAAAAGGATAAGTCACTGCAGACTAAATTGTGTCACAATGCCAGAAGCTTATGTCATCCTATATTGAGAACATCAAGGCATGCTATGTGCTTGTCAGATAAGAGCCACCTGCCCCTTATGTTCTCTGCTTTTTGGGAGAGAGGAGTGAAATTGGCAGCTTGGTAACTACATATCAAGTACCAGATGTGTTGATTTGCTCTAGGAAAGCATTCTATCTGGAATAGCAGCTGTAGAGTTACTATCAGACCAAACTTGTAATAATCCACTCTTTTTACTCTAGATCCATCTGAGTTTTGTGCTGGATAAACTAGAGGTGTGGTAAGATTCACCACCGATAGAAGGACCTATTAGTTATTTCCTGATATCTGCGGTTCTCTTATTCCATAAGGACAGAACTCTTGTTTGCGACTCGGAACATGGCCACACTGCCTTACAGCTGAGAGTGGCCATGTGACTAAATTCTGACTAATGGACTGTAAGTGGACGTTTAAGGGTGTTGCTGTAGGAGGTCTTCTGCTGCCCTTTTTGATTCTCGCTGCCTGCAGTGCGAATGTCACCGCTGCACTCCTAAAGCCGCAGAGTCGCGGGAGTGATGGCAGCGTCTTGGAGGTCAGCACAGATGATGGCAGCAGAAGTGCCATGCTTAGGAAGGTGAAAAGAAATCGGAAGAGGGGACGAACTGTAAGGCGGGAGGAGAACCAACAGTCACGCCCTAAAGAGCGGGAGGCGGAAGGGCTTTAACAACAGGTGTTCAGTGGAGTTACGTAACGCTGCAGCAGGCCGGGTAAAACCTGCACCGAGGAATCATTACTGAATGTGGCAACATTAAGGTCACTGGGGACTCTGGGGCTTATCTAATTTAGTTTTCTCGTGATTAAATTCGGGTTGTGCATTTTGGGCCAAGAATACCACAGAGATGAGGTTGTGTCTTTCTCTATATAGCATCTATATTTATTAGGGTTCTCCAGGGAAACAGAATCCATAGGATATATATATATATTAAGTAAGAGGAGATTTATTCTAAGGAACCGGCTCATGTGATTATGGAGGCTGCGAAGGCCCGCAGTCTGCTGTCTGCAAGCTGGACCCCCAGAAAAGCCAGTGGTGTGATTCAGCCCAAGTCCGAAGGCCTGGGAACCTGGGCAGTCATGGTGTAAATCCCAGCCCAGTGGTAGGAGAAAATGGGGTGAGAGGACCCGCTCAACAGTGAGGTGGGGAAAAAAGGAGTGATTTCCTCTGCCCTCTGCTTTTTCTTCTACTCAGGCCCTTAAAGGATTTGCTGATGCTCCGCCATAATCTACTTTACTGAGTCTACTAAAATTCGAGGGCTGATCTCACCCAGATGAAAATGTTTAAAATGGGCACACCAGGGCTTAACTGACGTCATGCTGGGAGACACGTTCTGCAGGTAATGTTCCATTGTTGGTGCTCTTAGCTTGATCCCAGGCATCTTCGCTGTAAATTTACTATTCTCCCTTTGAACTTAGTAAGGGTCTTATGGGATTATACTTGGAGTCTGTGCAAATATCCTGCTTCCCATCATATCTTGGCCTGCTAACTTTAGCCTTTGCTCTGGCCTGTGACTGTCATTACTGTGATGTTTGCCACATGGTGATTTACTACTGTCTGCCATCCTTTCTACGTTGACTAATTGACTTTTTTTGTAGAAAACAGTCTTCTGCTTGCTTTTAAGTGAGGATAGGTAGGACTGTGTTCTGGCTGCAGGCAGGTTGGCTAGTGGGCAGCATTCACAGACACCTTTGTGCAGGAGAGAAATCCGGAGGTCAGTGGAAAGGCACCATGTGACCCTGAAAAGAAGAACCAACCTTCAGTTTTTCACATTGTCTCTAAATTCTGATGTGACTACATTGCCATGAATTTAATGATAATACATCTACAGTAAAATAGACCATCACAGGACTGACTCCCTTCTGAGTGACTATATTCATTAGTCAGGAAAAAAAGAAAAAAAAGAATGCAGGTACGCTCGATCGCATTCAACTTCCCCTGCGTGTCAGGAGCAAAGAAAGGATGCTTCTCAAGCTCAGCATGAATGAAGCGATGACCTTTATGAACTCTGCTGACTTTAGATAATCTGACAAAGCCTTTTCATGGCACCTGGCTGGAAGCTCAGAGGTGCCTTTGACTCAGGAACAAAACTTTGATTTGAAAGGGGTCTTGCTTTCTGTTTTTCCTTTATAGGAGCAGAAAATACAACCTTTCTTCCTTTACAGGAAGCTGTTCTCTGTAGGCAGAGAAATAAGGGCAGGATCTTTTATTGGATGAATTCCGAGTGTTTTAAGGTTGGGAGCTCACCATCTTCACAATACTTCCTACAGGCAGGCAGAAGATAGAGAATTATTTGTCTTTGTGTAGAAACCAAGGGGAGGAGGGCACTGCTGTGATAGAAAAGAGCGGGCTGGCCTCTGCAGAGGTGTGGGCAGGTGGCTAGGCCCTTGGACAAATGCAGCCCTCACTGGTAAGTTTTGTTGCCAGTGTCTTTGCACAGCTTCATACAGAGCCCTCCCTCCATTGCTGTCACTTCTCAGGGTTTGCTGTCCAAATCTCTACATTTCCCTCATTCAAAAATAAGTCTGGAAACACCCTGCCTTGCTGATTAGACCTTGACCCTAGGTGAGCTTTGCATCAACAATCTCCTAAAGAGTGACAAAGCATTCTGTATTCCACGTGTTATCTTTTGCCACCTGACTGTTACTATTTCCCAACACAAACAAGCCCGGATTGTTCTTTTCGAGCAGGTGGAATGTTCAAGGAGGGAAGCAGAGAGGAGTTGAGGACTGGACCTTTGTGATGGGTTTGTCCACTCAGGTATGGTGGAGGTCATCTCCTTGTCTCTCAAATCCCATCTGCTTATCCCAGCTCCACACCCACCATCAAGTCCAAATGACCAATATTCTCTCCTGGACAATGGTAGTAGTGACCAGAGAAGCCCGGCCTTCTCAGTGGGGTGGGGGTGGGGATGGGGGTGATTTGGCCCCCCAGGGGACATCAGGTAATGTCTGGACACGTTTTTGGTTGTCACCATTAATGGGGGATGGTCTTAGTGGCACGTAGTGAGTGGAGGTCCAGACACTTCTGAACATCCTGCAATACACAGGGAGGTCCCCGCCCCCCACCCCAACAAAGAATAATCTAGTCCCAAATCATAATAGTGCTGAGTCCTCCTGCATACATAACCATGTTCTTTCTTTAAAGAGCAAATTGGATCATATTTAAAACCTTTCAGGGGTTTCCCACGATTCTTAGTATGACAATTAGCAAAATAAATCCTTTGCTATTTACTGCATGATCTGGCACCCACTGTCCCTCTTTTCCTGGATCCTGTGCCATAACCAAATTGGCTTTATTCTTTTTTTCCTGAAAAGCGTTGTACTTCCTCTGACCTCACAGGGTCTGGGCACATGTTATTCCTTCCTATAAATTAGTTCCCTCTGTCCTACAGCCTGTTCCCCTTTTGCCTACCTACTACTGCCTTCTCATCCTTTAGCAGACCACAGCTCAAAAGTTACTCCACCCGAGATTCCCTCCCAGGCCACCATGCTGTGAAGAAGCATAAGATGAAAGGCCATGTGGAGAGAGAAACCAGACCACACCACCTCCTCCAGCCAGCCCAGCTCAAGCCTCTGAGGGCAGTGAGGCCACTGGGACACCCAGGGCCCCCCAGGCCCCCAGCTGTCTGTAAGCATGCAAGGGAGCCCAAGGGAGGCCACAAAACTGCCCACTTAACCCTCACAACTGTGTGTACCAAATAAATAAGTAACTATTATTTTATGTTTTAAGCCACCTATGTCTTCAGGTGGTTTGGTATTTAGTAATAGGTATGTGATTTGTTCTTACTAGGATCCCTGAGCTGTGCACTATGGCACACCCTGATGTGCTGGGGTTTTCCCGTCACTCCCCGCTGCCACCCCTCGCATGGCTGTTGGTCAAGACCTGGGTTTTCTGACTCACGATCCCCTTGAAAGGGTGATGCTCTCCTCCCAGCAGGTCAGTGAGGGGATGTGGGGAGGCCATGCCCCCTTCCCATTTCACCCTCCTGTCCTGTCAGTCCCCTGAGGCTGCAGCGTGACGGTGGGCCGACACCTTCCAACTGCGTGGACTCCAGAGTTGGAATAAATTCAGAAGAGTAGGTCAGCGCAGGAGGGGAATGACTTTAGGTTTTCACAGTGTATCTTTCCCAGACTCTAAAAGGGAAATCACTTAAAAGAATTAGCTCCTTTGCAAAAAGGTCCCTTTGTGGGAACAGGCTGGCTTTTACCAGGAGGCAAGGCACAGTTTCCAAGGGTAGACATCACTTTCCAAGGGAACAGCACACTGCATTTCTATGTAAGCAACACAGTTTCCTTAACTAGCCTGGTGCCTCTCCCTTAGCTGGGCCTCTGGGAAACATCACAGTCCACTATAGGGCACAAGAGGGCTTGGCTTCCTCCTGTGCCACTACCATGGTCTCCTAGAATATTAAAGGGCCTGCCTTCCCTTTAATGACTATTTCCTTTGTTACCCCCGAGACAATCCTGGTGAAGAGAAAGACACCAATTTCTTCCCTTATGCCTGAAGGTCCCATACAGGGAAGGTATTGATTTAATAGTTTTTGTTTGCTTGTTTGGTTTGGTTTTTGTTTTTTACCCATAAGGTAACTGCCTTTCGGTAGGGGCTTGATGTATCTCTGGAAAGGAGCAGTAATGCCTCCATGTCTTCGGGTGGTTTGGTATTTAGTAATAGGTATGTGATTTGTTCTTACTAGGATCCCTGAGCTGTGCACTGTGGACACCACTCCTTGGTGTCCTCCATTTGTGGAAAAGGAGTGGATATTAGGTTGGTGGGAAAGGAAAGGGCCCAGACATTAGGGTGAGAGAACCAGGTCTAGGCTCCCGGATGATGAGTTGAAATGGCATTGCCAACAGGGAAACGGTGTCTCCAGTCCTGTGATGTGGAGGATGGGGCATAGAGATTTTAGATCTAACCTGATTGTAAGGCAGGTTATCTAGATTTAGGAAGAGGTCTCCTTTATCTTCCTATTGTTGTCTCTTAAACTTTAGCAAAATCTTGTTTCAGCTTTCCCAGGCAGGTTTTTCTTCAATTTACTTCGTTTTAAAATCAGCTAAAATCTGCTACAGGATTATAAAGGAAGGAAGTAACTGGGTCCTCATCTACTCCCCAGCAGGGCAGTTCATGCTTCGTCATCTATGACGCTCTCTTATTCTGGCTCATAGAATCCTCTAAGCCTGCTGCTTTTATCAGAGAGAAAAAAATGCCAAGTGCCCCCACTGAATTTTCCAGAGCCTGAGTGGGAAATCAGAGCTTTTCTACTTTGCTGATGGCACACAGTCATCCCTGCAAGGGGACCGCTCATGTGGCTCCTACCGGGGGTGGGGTGAGGCAGACCCACACCAGAAGGGGGTTTGGTGGCTACCACCCCCTACCTTGCCCTCACGTGGAGGTTTGGGGGTGGGGACAGTTGGTGACCGCGATCTCTGATTCTCTGCCTCTCATTGCCAAAGCGTTGCTCTCCTCCAGCCTGGGTTTATCATCTCTCTCTCCTGGGGAGGAAACCTTGATTGACTAGGTATTCTTGCCAACTATTCTCTTTTTGCCCACCAGTGCCCTTCAGACTAAAAATCCCAGAATTCCCTATTTTTGTTTCTTTTTGCACTTTGTGTGGCCTCCTACCTCTTCCATGCTAAGTGGTAAAGGATTCCTTTAGCCATATGACCACCAAAGTACTACAGGGAGGCAAAAATGGCCTGGTGCTATTAGGTAGGGTGACTTTCCTTCGCTAACACGAGGGGTTCCAGCCCCTGGACATTCTATTGTCGCTCCAGATGACAATAGGGATTATACAGATGAGCAGGGGACACATGGGATCAGGCAACAGGCCCCAACAACTTCAGAAGCTGTTCTAAGATCAGAAACTGTTGACGGGGAAGAGGGATCCTTTGACAGAACGACACACACATAACAGAGAAGAGTTAAGAAGCTGCCGAACGGGATTTAGCCCCCACATGGCTTTAATGTCCACCCTGGCCCTGTGTGAGCTTGTAAGCATAATATGCTCATCAGCCGTGGTGTCCTACCAGGCTGGAAGCTGAGGAACTGAATAAAAACAGAAGCTGCCTGGTAAACTTATTTGTTCTAGAGGTTTTCTTTTCCACCTAGCAGCAAAAGTGACAAAGCTCTGAAATTGCCATGGAGACCTAAGTCAGCTTTACACATGTTGGCTCCTGGCCTGAATTCTTCAGATCAAGTAAACAAAGGTTTTCTTTATCAGATAAAGTTCCCAGATTTCTGTGCTAAGAACTACTACTAATCAAAGCAAGAGACTGATAACTACAGAGACAAAAATATTTCTTTAATAAAGTCTAAACAAAATAAGACATCCTGGTAACAAGAGGAAAACATTCATAGCCATTATTTTAATTTTTGGAGAGTTTTAAGTAATTCAATTGAAATCATGATTAAAGGGAGGTAAAACACTCTCTTCCCTGTGTGGCTCATGGACCAGCAGCAGTAACAGCCCCTGGGGGAGGGGAAGAAATGCAGATTCTCAGGCCCCAACCCAGACTTACTGAATCAGAATTAACGCTTGTATTGTACAAATTCAATAACAGTAGTTGGATCTGAATCTTAATCCAAAGGAAGAGGGACTTTGAAGGCGCCCTTAGTCAGTCATAAACATATCAGGAAAGGAGGGACTCACATTGCTCGGGAATTGTATGGGCTAAGGTAAAAAGAATTAAAAAATTGAAGGGCTCAGGCTAGATTCCTCAGTTCTGGTGGGATAAGGAAATCGGTGCCATTAAAGGCATTAAAGGAGGAGCTCCAGACTTTTCTATCACCTTAGTGGCAAAGAGAACAAAATTACAGCAATGCTGGGATGCTTAGCATGTGCGGTGATAGATTAGTGTTGTTTGCAGGGCTTGCCTGACTTCATTTTCACAGTGGTATTAGTGATCCTTCTTGGGTTGAAACTTCTGAATGGGTTACATGAACACTGAGGACTCTTCTAGCCCTCCAAGTTCCAAACAAATCTTTGCCAGGTGTCCCTGCCTGATGGTAACTCTCAACGGTTTACTCAAGGGGTTAGTTTTGTGACTTCTATAGTTTTAGGAACTAGGTTTTTCCACATGGTTCCTCTGGAGCAGAAGGAGACTTTTGATTGCCATTATCAGCAAGAGAGAAAAAGATGATGGATTTAGTGGATTTGAGCTACAAAGTGTTCAAATGTCAATGGTAAGTCTACGTCCCTGCAGCAAGGATGGGGCCTGAGCAGAGGGAGATGCAGGAGGGATCTGCAGACCCACGGCCCTGCTTCTGTAGCATATGTGGGCATCCTTAATCCGTAACTGTAGTCCATCCCATAATCATCTCTATCATTCTAAAGGTCTAAGCCTTCTAAAGCCCCAGCAACCATTCCACATGGGTATTTCTTCCTGGGTGTGTGGTTGCCTCATACATACTCTTAGGAAGTTCATTCAAGATCACCTAAGGATGCCAACTCAAGACTGTAGCCCAAATTACCTATGTGTGAGTGCCAATGGTCAGGGGAGCCCTCAGTCCTATTCTTAGTACCTTATCTTCAGTCTGCATACACTGTAACGTGTTCCTTGGCAGCATCCAAGCTGACCGATACACAGATTCATCATCTCTCCAAATAACAGTATGTTAGGACAAGGCAACCACATCTTTGCTGAGTGGGTCAAGTGGTAACAGGCACTTGGCTTTATTATGAAATAGGAAGAGCTTGTTTTTGTCCATTGTGGATCTTTCCTATAGAACTCCTCCTCTCACCTTCCAGAAGGGGTCCTCTGGGGCCACCCACAAAGGGAGAGAGAGAAAGGCAGTACAAACCTCCAAGAAGGAGTTGTTTTGCTTAGTGTGCAAGGCTGTTCCTTCCTTTGCAGAATTTAAAGCCCAACTCCCATGAAAGCAGAACTGAAGTTTCTGAGTTCAGGTTTATGTTACCCAAGTGAGGAAGTTAAAGCTCAAACTGAGGATTTCCTGGACAAGTAAGCTGTAACATAGCAGGACTGACATGAGGTTCCCCACGTGCACATCTAAGTTCTGCATGGCCATTTCCCATGTAGCAATCTGACTTAACCTCTCAGAAAGGGACTGATAATCAGGGTCAGATTTAATAAGAAACACCATTCAACCCACTAACTTAAGCAAGAAAAAAATTACTGAAGTCTTTTGAGTAGTTCACAGAATGGCCAGAAGAGGGGCTAGCCAGGATTGGAGGCTATGACCACAGCAAATTTATGTCAGAAAATGCACCACTCAGCTGGACTTGTGGAGATGCCCTTCCTATTGCCACTGGGCACAGCCTCGGGTCCTTGCTCTGTCCTGGGCCCTGGCGCCTGCAGTTAGAACTATTACCACCACACCTCTGGAAACTGGCTGCAGTAGAACTCTCTAAGCCAGAATAGATTCCACCCATGACTGCCTCTTTGCATGACTAGTCCCCGAGTCACCATCTTTTGTGAGTAAGTCCAACTGGCAGAGCTTGGGAAGGTATCTGGCCAAGTGGGGCAGGTGAGAAGACATTGCAGGGTGTTACCCTTCTTCCCGGCTGGCCCAGGCCCAACTTTCTCCTGGTGTCTACACTACATGCAGTCCTGTGATTCAGAAAAGGTGAATCCAGCCATCTCAGAGGGTGAATCCAGGCCTTTCAGGAAATCTACTCTCTTGCCAGTGATTGGCTTTCAAAGGGACATG